TTTTACGTATTCATAAACATAAAGAAGATAAAATATTAACTATATTCAAGCCATAGCATTGTACTTAAGTGTAATTAAAAAAAACCGAAAATATACGTAGTTTTCATAATACTTTCTTAGATTTACGTGAATGTTTGACATTTTAAATAAAACTATCTTTTCGGATTTTGTCGCGGATTTATTTGTATTTTTGTTTCCCGACGTTTCGAATGCTTTACAGCATCCATGGATGCTGTAAATACATGCTGTGACCATGGATGCTGTAAAGCATTCGAAACGTCGGGAAACAAAAATACAAATAAATCCGCGACAAAATCCGAAAAGATAGTTTTATTTAATATGTAGTTTTATTATAATGTCAAATATTCGCGTAAATCTAAGCAAGTATTATATTAAAATGCTTTATGAAACTTTTAGAATGCTTCTGTTCTATGTAACTCATATTGAAATACGCTGACAATGAACGGGTACATTACATTCGTTTCGATTTAATTCCTCTTTATTTATCCAGCATCGTGGTTGTTGTTTATTTGATATTTTCATAGTGTATGAGTTTGTGAATGCTGTTGACTTTTGAAATTGAAACAATTGAAATGGTTCAATGATCTCGTTTAAATAGTAAACGAAAATTTTAGTATATTTTATACTACGTTCATGCAAATATTTTTCGTTGACAGAATAATATAGTATGTATATATATATATATATATGTATACGTATTGTGTACATACTCTATATGATCATATAACTATGTACGTTGTATATGCTTGGAGGTTTGTGTTCGTAATAAAATTAAGTTCAAGTGTATACATATAACAAAATATTTAAAAATAAAGCTCTACTTTAACTTACAAATAATTTAATATAAAATTGTTTTAAGTCAATAAATACGAGAAAAAAGCGATAGCCCAGTGGTTACGCGCTTTCTTAATGCTTGGGAAATCAAATTAAGTGGGTTCAAATCTCGGACCTCTGCTATTTTCATGTGTGAGTCATTTACAACATGATTACACTTGTCTGGCGGTGAAGGAAAACATCGTGAGGAAACCTGCAGGTGTTGGTCTGAAAGAAACTAATATGTTTTCAAAAAATATGTGAAGTCCGCCAACCCGCGCTTGGCCAGCGTGGTGGATTATGGTCTGATTCCCTTCGTATCGGTCTTTTCCCAAAATTCTAACGTAAAAAAAGAATAAATGTGAATAAAACTCTAATATAAATAATTTAATTTATAGTATAAAGTTTTTCCATTAACTTGCTCTAACAAAAACTTTCATAATATGATCTGCAATATGTGATATTACTATATTAATATTTCTGAACAAATATTATTAAAAATGTTATGAAACCTTAATAGAATTTTTATATTAGTGTAATATAGGTATTGCTTTAGTATACAAAACCGAGGTCTATAAAATGCCAAAAGTTATTATTTAAAAACCTCACATATAATAAGATAGACAACATTATACTAAATTTCTCATATATAGACTTTTAATTTCTTCTTTTGTTACTTTTAAGAGCTTACTACCTTCTATAACCACAGATATAGAGATAACTTATACAGGGCGTATTTACAGCACATTCATAAACGCGCCAAGGACGTGCATCGTCTATACATATTCTGCGCGATAAACTTAACCGATAAAGCTTTAAAAACTTGATAAAGCTTTAAAAATTACTTGAGTTTGTATCGATACAAACGTGTGGGAAGTGCGAGTAGCGAGTCGACAGCGCGTTAAAACGTCGTCGTGTGTGTAAGCCCTTAACTCTTTCTTTATCTATATAGTACAGTCCTGCGTTGTAGAAAAGTATTAAGATAATTCAAAAATAAAACTAGTATAAAGTTAGTATTTTTATTTTATTAAAAATAGGTATTCAAACACCGATATAAAATTAAAATAAGTTCTTGAATATTGTGACGATAATTGTGTTAATGTTGCATAACATAATCGCATCTTAATCACAAAAATAGGCCTTTACAAGTATAGATTTTTCTTTATGATTTACAGACAATAATATTCGAAGTATAGTAAGTAATAAACAGAAGTCCTTACATATTTATTGCTTTGCTATTATTACTGTTATTTCTACAATACCAGCTATATTAATTACAGATTTCCATTGAAAAAAAATTTATTACACGTATGTTTACAAGAATGCCTCGTTTTTATTTAAATCATACCTATAAAATAAAATAGCTATTGCGATGGTACAAGACTCTAAAAATCTTCTTTCCCTTGAAACAACTACGCTACATAACAATATATCTTGTAGACGTTGCTTTATTTGAATACTGTGACACTTAAAAAATTCTGATGTAAAAGTAAATTTATTGATGATTGATTTATTGATTTAGAGGCATGGCAATTTTTTTATATGCCATTATTTAACTTAAATTATAATTTATAATATACTATTGTCACTTTAATAATGTGCCAAAATAGGAACTAGAAGAAAATTCATACGTGTGTTATTTCATTTCGCATTGTAGTATTATTTCGCAATTGAATGTTACTAGATACAAAAAATTATATTAAATTAATTATTAATTACATATCGATAAATAAAAATCATAATGAAAATAAATATAAGTTTATGAGAGATTTTTTTATATTTATTTAGAGATAGGCGACTCAATTTATCGAAGTACAAATTCAATAGACTTGACTATACATAATATTTACAATAGCTCGACCACATTTAACGTTTTTGGGATAAGTAAAGTGTGTTTACTTTTGCCTAATGCTTGTAATAACTTTACTAAGAAATACTAAAGAAAAGAAAACTATATATTCGTATAAAATAAGTAAAATATTGATTTATTACTAAGAATACATATGTAGGGACCATTCAAATATTACGTAAGCACCAAACTACTCAACTACTACTATCGTAACTGCCTCGGTGGTGTAGTGGCTATCATGTACGGCTGCACACCCGGAGGTCCTGGGTTCGAGTCCTGGGTCGGGCCAAGTTCAGTTATTGAGTCTTTCTGTATAGTAAGCCTCAGTAACAGCCCGGACTTGGGAAGTTGGCGGTGTTTCACCCCCGTGCCTCGGAGAGCACGTAAAGCCGTCGGTCCTGCGCCTTAACTCTCACTGGTCGTGTCGAGCAGTCGTCCCACCGGAGTATGAGAGTGACAGGAATAGAGAGTGCACGTTGTGTCTGCGCGTACACTTAAGCACTATAATATCTCCTGCGCAGTTGACTAGTCTCAATGAGATTGGCCGCCGTGGCCGAAACCGGTCAGGAGATCATCATCAAGCACCAAAGGAGGTGTGGGCTTTGATGACATGGGGGGACGGGGCTCTGGATGGTGATTACGTCAGCAGCATTTATTTATTTAATTTTTTGGATAATCTGCAAAATTTAGTCATTTTGATTCGTCCAATTAAAATATAATAAATGTACATTAAATTCCCCTATAGCCTATAAATACCTTATTTCTAGACTTGATGAAACTACTGCATAAGAATAACAATAAAAAACCTGAACAGATTAAAAAATATATGTACCAATTTTTACGTAAACATACGAGGGGGGATTAAGAGCTTTGCTTTTTTTTGCTTTTGTTGACCAGGGGGTGGGAGGGGTTAATAATTACTAAAATTCTGCTTACGTTATACTAGAATGGTCCCATATTTAAAAAAAAAAATTATTTATATCTGACACATAAATAAATGAATAAATTAAAAAAAAACTGCACTTTATTTATTTCAGCTGTCAGCGCTAGATGTGGCCATAGGACGAGTTTATGAACGATTCCTAATAATTGTTGAAGCGTCATATTATTATAACATTATGTAATTACGTACCTATAGATGATATGCAATGATACAAGTAGTGCTATCATTTATAACAAGTGACTATACATATCACATAACTTACGTAGATAAAATTTTCCTTTTCGTAAAAGATTCATTTGAATTTCAATTCACAACTCCAATGTTACTTTGTTTTAATTTAGGAAATATCATATGGCACATAAAAGTATGATTTAAAAACATAGTTTTAATAATAACTAAGTAGTATCATTCGAGTAGGCGTTAGAATTGGTGATCTGCCTAGTATTTAGGCAGACCTGCCGCCGGGGCGCCGTAGTAGTTATGCGCAAGCGATCCTGCGGCGTCCCACTAAGGCGGGGGAAGGGATGTCGGGTTTTAGTGGGTAGTACCGGCTCTTCTAGCCGGTGAGCCCCACATCACCACCTGGGGGTTCAGGTGGTATGCGTAAATGCATTTCCCGACGGTAAAAAAAAAAGGCGTTAGAAGAGTGATAAGCTTAACTTGTTACGTCATTGTAATACCATATGATCGTTATTTTTAAGTTTATACTCCAGATTCACTTATTTACTTGTTTTAGTGCTTCAAATAACATAACTTGTTTTATAGATTACTAACCATCATATTACTATAAATTTTATCTATATCATTATTTACACTACAGTGAATTTTCAATGTTACTCATACTCGTATTTATTGCCAAGCGTTTATCTCATTTAGGACTTAAGCTAATGATAAGTAGGTCACAAATTCGTTTATTGATATTCGACGGGCTAATATCATGTTGTTTTATCAATCCACTCAATGAAACGATATCTAAACATCTCTTTATTTATACCTTTTTAGTTTACATTAAGATTTCATTATAAACTAATAGTAATACTGTACAAAATTTACAACATTAACATACAAAAGACTAGCTATAATTTTTATATAACATAATAAATATTTATGATACGCAATAAAGCTTCAGTACACAGGGTTTTTATATAAGAATAAGACTAAGCAATTAGGCCCAAAAATAATATTTCACAGTCTGTCAACTAAAATATTAGTTAGAATTTCCACTTTTCGTTACTGAACTTTATAAAAGTTATTTATTTCTTGCAAGTCACAGATAAGGAAGAGTATTAATAAAAGCTTCACTATTCACTGCACTATAGAGGTTTATACATCCGTTTGGCACAAGTCGCCGAAAACCGGCAAGGCGTGATACTACCGCGTCACTGAATCTACTCTTGGATGTGGAGCAGGTGGAGGATGGATAGGTGCATGAGATCCTTGTGTTCCGCTCAGAACACTTTGTCCATGTTTGAAAGACGTCAGCCGAGCCAACGTTCTTGTAGGATCGTTGTCAAAATTAGGCCGCTCGTATTGATGCTTAGGTCTTTGTCGTTGCGGTTGCATTGCTTGTAGTTCATCATATCCGCCGTCATCACCGTAATTGTCATCGTCTGAATCTTCACCAAAAGCTCTATATGTTGCTTCTGATTCGGAGTTTTTTCTCGAACTGACATAACTTCTGCCTATCAGAGACTGTGTCACATCAGGCTTAACACCTTTGTCCCCTTTTCTCTCATCCAAGCTTTGATTATACCTGAGTTGAGCCTTTTGAGTTTTATCTCGTGAAGGTAGATCATAAAACTTGAGGACATTCGGGTGACCTTGGAAATATTTTTCACTGTATACATTTCTATTATAATATCCACCGTTACTGGCAGGATAAAGTTCCTCATCTGGTGCGTAACGATTATCATAATTTTCGACATTTTTACTCCCAGGAGGAAACCATCCCTAATAAAAAATAAGCATTAATGAGATTATTAAAATTTATATTCATTAAATTTAATTATATATAAATAAATAAAAACTTACTAAAGAGCTGACGCATTGTCTAGTATTGGCTACGAGTGTAACCGAGGCATACGCTGCAGGTGATGTTGCGGTCTTGCTTGTATTCCATTCATTTCCATTTACTCTAGAAGCCGTTACTTCGGCATATTCAGGTAACTGTTGGGCAACTTTGTCGTATTCAGAATTTGTTTTTTCTTTACTTTGACTTGTTTGGGTACTGGACATGCATAATCCTGGCTGATTTTCCATCCACAAAAGTGATTCAGTTTTAGTTACTGTGTTTTTATTATAGCAGCTGCTGAGTGGATGAGATAAAGAAACTGCCGCTTTTATGTTCATTTGAGTTACCAAACTTGTGCCGTTTGAATCTAAAACAATAAAAATATTTTACAACCCTTTTAAGATTCTGAAACCGTTATTTATTTTATTACAATAATATCTGATAAACAAAGGCTTGTAAAACAAATAAAGTGAATAAAATTGACTTAAAGGTAACTGGGTGAATCAACAAACGAATTGCCTCAGGAAAACGAAATAAAAACATTAACATTTACTGGGTTTTTATTTTTCGGATTTGTATCATTCCTTTGTGCCACGAACGTGAATGTAAAATGAAAGAGATCCAGTGCGCTAGGAAGAGAGGGCTCGTGCTACCTTTCAACTTGAAAGTAATCTAGCACCCTCCCGCCCCTCGCATGGCAAAGCCTCCATCAAACAAACGCTCGGCACCCTTGCCACCCTACGACACCCGTGGAATGTTTTTAATTTTGAAATTCTGATGCTGATTCTAGAGAAAGTGTAAGTATTTAGGGATAAGTGATATACAGAAATGTTTTGTTTACATTATAAACTTGCATAATTCACATATTCAAATGATTTAAGAAATTATTTATTACTTACCATATATATTTGGAAGTACAGACTTCTTTGCAAAAATATTATGTCTTCGTACATATATAATACCTCCAATCATAACAATTTTGAATAAAACTATAGCTCCAATCAAGAAATAGAACCACGTTTCCATTACGAAATCCCCTGCGACAATCGAAACTTCTCCGTTTACGGGATATCTAGAAAAATGAGATTATTATATTTTTTATATTAATATACAAACAAAGATTAACACTCTATTTATAAAGAGAAACATAATCGTAAAGACAATAAAATATAATGTTTTTATACTGTTTAATTACCTCGACAGTGGGTCTAATCCAACAGAACGAGAATCGATATTTAAATATACTTTTTGACTAAATGGCCCTAAGCCAACTATAGTTTCAGCGGCTATTTGAACCGAATAGCTTACACCTGAAGTGAGATTAGTCATTATCAAACTCGTGGCTTGATGGACAGTTGTATTAATAGCAACCATTGACTTGTTGGCGGGTATATCTAGCCAATTTAAAACAACGTTATATCCAACAATAGCTCCATTTTGTAAATTGGGTTCCGGAGGATGCCATTTTAAATGGACTGTAGTTGTGTTGTAGATAAACATTTCGATGTTCGTTGGGGGTCCGTCAGGTACTGTAATAAATGAAAATTAAAGTATTATTTTATACATATAGTTTAAATATTAAGAATAATATAATTTATTTGTGAACATAGTTACCATCATCTAGAGTTTGGGCTATTTTTGAATTCGAAGGCTTCCCTTCAAATTTCTTATAAAATGGCACGAGGAAGAATTCATATCTTGTATACTTTCTCAGTGAAGTAATTTCATATCCAGAAACGTCATTTGAATGTAATATTGTTTTCATTTCATATTCAGTTGTTTTATTATCAAGTGGTCTAAAATATATAAACAAGCCCTCTAAATAGAAAAAGTTCAATATTTCCCACATAAGTTTAATAGTTTTGGAGTCTATGGGTGTAGCTTCAATAAGATCTACAATATTATCTGTCATGATGTTTTTTCTAAATTCAGAATTATTAGAAAATATTACTCCATCCCACAGGACATTGTTATCTTCACCAACTGTCACAGCTTCTGAAATTGAGCTTGGCGCAGACAATCCGTGAGAGTTTTCTGCCCTGACTATAAACATGTACGTTATACCAGGAATCAACGACTTGACTATGTAATGAGTTTGATAAACTCTTTTGGAGACCACTACCCATCCTCGAGAATTTCTCGGCGTGTTATTACCTAGTAAAGTCTCTCTTGAGAACATTTCTATTTGATACCCAAGGATGGAAGACGATCCAATTTTATTATTTTGATTCCAAGTTATAGTTACACTTGTATCCGTTATATTATATATCTGCGGTTTAGTGGGTGGACCTGGTAAAGCAGAAGTATCTGCTGCTCTAAAAAAATGAATATTTGGATTTATAGGACTATCCACAAGCAACATTCCGCTCCACACATATTTTCCATGTTGAGATGAAGCTACACAAGTGTATGTCCCGCTATCTACTTTATCTAAATCTCTTAAAATAAGCGTCCCATCAGTAGAGATATTTCTTCTATGATTTTGTATTAGCGCCTCTCCTTCGAAATACCAAGCAATAATAGGTTCTGGTGTACCGATTGCCGCACAAGGGAAAACAGCCATTGATTTTATAGGTAACGTTTGGTTAGAGGGACCGTTTGTTATGATTGGCGGTGGGCGGTCATCGTCTGACGTCACGGTTAGTTTCCCTCTAACAAACGAACTGCCAGCAAAGTTTACCGCCGAACAAACTATTGTTTTTCCACTATCGCTTTTATTTGTATTATTGATCGTTAATACTGTAACGATATCGGATACCAATGTAGCTTGATATTTCCCTCTCGATGTACCTGGTAGTATGATTGTTCTGTTGCCTTCTAAGCTCCAATACATCGTTGGTTCCGGTTTGCCCGTTGAAGAACATGTAAATGTAGCTGATGAACCACTCTCTACAATCACAGAATTTGGCTTCATGGTGACTGAAGGAGGATCTAAAAAGAAATTATTTTTAATGATGAGTATTGCTAGTAAATTTACTAGCTATTAATTGTATACATATTATGTACATTCAATAAAATACAATGAGATATCTACTTTATTTTATTTAATTTTCTATAACCGGTACGAGTATATACAAGTATAAAAAACAAAGTCGCGTTTGTTACAACACTTATAACTCGAGAACTGCAGGACCGATTTTTAAGATATTTGTTTTGTTTGATATGTGTTCACCCCGAATAGCAGAATAACTATTAAAACATCAGAAAAAATCCTATTTTTTTAACGTACTGTATTTATATATGTGTATGTTTTTTATAACTAATTTAAATATTTACCATGAACGGTCAAGTATCCACTAGCACTAACTGCTCCAACGGCATTATCAGCTTCGCACGTATACTCTCCCTCATCTGCTAAAATAACATTGTCGAGCCTGAGGCTCCTATCGTCAAGGACTTTGACACGGCCGAGTGGCATGTTACCACCGCCGGCTGTCCTCCTCCAGAGTACGTCAGGGAGGGGATCACCACCCACTCTGCATTGAAAAGTCACACTCCCTCCGGTTTGTGCTACGATATCCTCCGGGCCAGCAATTAAGTATGGTTTAACTATACAATACAAAACATTGTTATCAACACATTATTCAATGAAAAGTAATAAAACATATATTTTTATTTATTAAGAAAATATAAACAAATATTAAGGTAAGTACTAATAACTTACTATGTATTCTCAATGTAGCGATAGCTGACTCTCTAGTTCCAGCCGCATTTCTCGCGATACATTGATATCTGCCGGCATCTGTTTGCCTCGCGTCTTGTATTACGAGACTACCACCGTCTACCAAGTGCATTCTAAACAAATAAAAATAAACGGTTTTTAATTTTTTTATGCATAATAAAATTATGAATTTCATTTTGATTCTTTTAAATAAAGCTAAAAGTAATAACGTCATTTAAAAATTGGGCGGAATAATTCAATAGGAAATTAACATTTAATAAAGGGTCCGGTGAGTCAGAACTATTCAGATTTTTACTTGATTGCTTGTCGAGCTCTTCAAATATCCCCTTCCTTATGACTTTGATGTACTCTCCCTACTGTTAATTATTTTCATGCTTCGCCATACACATGCTATGCCCTCAAGACGTAACCTAACGCCGTATCTCATAAAAATTCATAGACAACAAATGGAAATGAATTGGCAATAAAACTTCTAGTAAAATTCAATTTGAAGTCAGTGAAGATTGTTATTAAATAAAGAATAAGCTGTTCCGGTACGAGTATATTCAATTATGTATATGTAAATTGTATAATATGTAAAATATTAAAATGTTTTTAATTTTTATGTTTTTTTTTCAAGCCAGTAGAACTAGTAAATATTTAGTTTTTCTGCTTACAGCTTATTAATAAATACCTTTATGAATACTTAAATTTTATAACAAAAAAATTGTACCTTCTTCGTTTCTAGTCTAACCCAGGTGGGCAAAAATATATATATGTAAAAATAACTGCACGATTTTAGACTACTTTATATTCTGTTCTCACTGCTATATTGCTATTTCTCATTAGCATAGGTGGACTGAAAGGGATCTCATCTAGAGATAAGTTTATCTTTGCAAATAATTTTTATTCTATTTTAATTAATGTATTTTATTTCAAAGCAATAAAGAATATTATTAAGCTCGAGACTATAATATTATCACTATATAGTTAAACTGTTATATGCACATGGCTTTTCAAAATAATTAATTTGTAATTACTCAACACCAACAGAATTTACTTTTCCTATAAGGCATTCAATGTTACACTACATTATTTGAGAGATATTCACAAGACTATCGCGTTTCCACCATCCCATTTAACTCCAAGTGCTCTTACCAACTACCCTCGATTTTACGTTAAGTGCGCTCTGTCGAACTGGCAAGTAACTTTCATTTGATATCCCAGAGCTCCACATTTTAATATATCTGCCAACTTTACTAGATTTCCGCAATCCGAAAGTTTGTTCCTAACAGTCGTTTAGTGCCGAGATAAATTATTCACCGACAAAAGCATATTTGGCATAAGTACCCACATACTATTTCAATTTAGACATATATTACATATGGAACAATATGAATTACCTAGAATCTCCATCAAAGTGTAGAATTTGTCCATTTTTCTTCCAATGTACTGATGGTTCAGGTGAACCACGTGGTGGGGAGCATTCTAATATTACAGTTTCCCCTTGCGCTGTCTGAGTGGTAACTGGCCCTAAGCGAAATTCTTCACGGAGCACTGTAGAAAAGTAAAAAGCGATTATGTAACGCCATATACACCAATAGAAAAATGAATAATGGAAGATTATAAAAACGTACCAGCTACATGTAACGTTGCGTTGCGACTTCTTGCAGTGCCATATGGGTTAGTGGCTTCACACCAATAAACTCCTGCGTCTGAGTGTGCTCTTCCATGAGTGGCTCTTAAAAAAAATAGTCCTCCCGCAGGTAAAAGGCTTCTATGGGTATCTGATACTACAAGTACACCTCCTTTGTACCATCTTATCGTTGGAGCAGGAGATCCACCAGCTCTGCAGTTCAAGGTCGCAGGCTGATGACGAGCAACCGTAACATCTAACGGCTGCTCTATTATGTAAGGCGCTTCTCCACTACTCATATAGTCATCACTTAATCCCCCTTTTACTGGACCTAATGAAAATATAAAAACTCAAATAATAAAATAATTTTTAACATTCTTTTCTACCTAAGTTAACGATTGCAACCATTGTGTTTGTAATTGAAATTTGAATTGAAATTCTTTCCTTTCTCAAAACATACGCTACAAATTCATATAAAATTATTCATGAATGCTTGGCATTATTTTAAAATTATACAACAATGACTCTTTCTAGGCTTCAACATATATGAATAATGGGTGGAGTATGTCATTCTCAGCTACTTTAAAGCAGCGCACAATAATATAATGAGCTATAAACACAGGCTAAGTCCCCCAGGATGCTGAACGGGGACCCTCACTATTTCACTGTGTTTACAACGCGCGACGCAGATGTTAGTTTTTGACACTTGAATTGATGTATGTCTATTGTTGAGCCTCAATATATTATTATAGCAAAGAAAAAAACGATTACTGAAAAAAAATATACGGAATCCGCCTAAAATGAACCACCCGTAATCATGTGCGACTCAATTTTGGAAATGTAACAGAACAGGGATTACGTCTATTGTACAAAATAATCGTGTTTATTTATTCACGTATCCCATATCGTGTGATGCGACGATACGACTAATCTATAATTGAATCTCGGTCACTTTTCTGTTATCTTTAGATTTCAATACCTTTTTGATATTTAGGATAAATTTGTTAAAATTTTTATAGATATAATTTTGTATTGGTGATTATTCATATATTATGTAGTTAAAATAGATCAAACGCGGTAAATCCTGCCATAACAAGTCGAAAAGAAACCAAAAAACGGTATATAAATAAAATTTAGCGGAATGCACGCTCATAAAATATTGTTTATGTTGATCTCGATACGTTATTTTTATCGTACATAAAACTCACTTTATTGCTTAGTTGTGCGTTTGAACTATCGATTATATTGGATGAATGAAAATCCTTCCTTGATAAAGTAAATAAAAAAGTGTCATAACATCATATCCGAAAAGTATGACGCGAATAAAACTACTATTATGATTAGGCTTTGTTATATAAATAGGGTTTTAGTATAAAAAAGATAACTTTACTAGAGAAATTTACAAAAAAAAAAATATTTAGCCTTACAGTCTAGGAAATGAAAAAGTAATTTAAATCAGTGTTTCTATAGTGACGACATCAAGACTTTACGGCTAAGGGAGTGATTTTCCACATCGCACGCGTGTAGTTATGTCACTATTGTTCAAAAACTTTTGTTAAAAAAGTTTGCGAGGGAGCGACTCGTCCCCCAGCTAATTTATACTACTTGCACATGTTGACACGCGTCGCGAAAAAAAATAAAAAAATGGTTTTAGTAACATAGCTTTCACATAAACTGCCACGCGGCCTCTGCCACGAAAATCGATGTAAAAAAACCCAAAAAATCACAAACTACAAATGTTTAGTGTTAACCTAAAATTGATAGTCTATCCAGTACACACTTAAAATGTAGATACAATTTATTTTTATTCGTATTTAGGCTAATAGCTCCGAAAATAGCCGCTCTTTTGTATCAAAGAAAATCCGATCTTCCTCTTGCAACGTATCACAAACTTGTCGACGTGCCTTCACATCAAACGTGTCTTCGACCGTTTGATACCATCAAGCTCCTTCGCCGTGAAACATCTTTATATTATCTAAATTTGGCAGTGGAAAATAAAAAACAACTCTTATCGTAAGTATTATCCAGACAATTTAGACCCAGTTATGCAAAAAACAGCCATGTGCGTAAAAGTACCAACAGAGTTATAAGCATTTTATTATAAAAAATAAAATAATTATAAAAAATAAATAATACTCATATAAATATTGTGCAATTTTAAAATAACCAGAAAAATAAAACATAACCCGAGTGCAACTATCGACAGAAAAATGCTTATAACTCTGTTTGAACTTTTATGTACATGGCTGTTTTTGCATAACTGGGTCCATTTTTTCGAATTCCCAAACGTGTAACGCCTCGTACATAATTATTACGAATACTATAAAAAAAGCTAATCTGTAGCGATAAAACTTGTTTGAGACCTTATTATCTAGCTTCAAGTACTCAAACGTATGACCCTACGTAATTCGATATCCGTTTGAACTGAATATCTAATTCTAATGACAGTTATTGACTCCCTTAGGAGGCAATCATGATTTTTCGAATTTTGAACACGTGTTCAGCCTTTAGAACCCCCTTTGCAATATTACACTGGGCTGTTATTACGCTATTTTATATTATAACTGTCGATAATTGCTCAGTTAACACCACTTATAATAATAAAATATATTTCGGTTAAATTATTAAAATTGTGCGGAAACTCTCAATTAAGCTACGCATTTAAAGCGGCACGTGCAAGATTTATAGATTTTTTCTCTAAAGTTCAAGTGTTAATAAAAGTGATATTTAATATGAACGAAGGAAATATATATTTAATATTAATAATAAATAATTGATTGTTTTTAACAAAAATATTTTTTAATAATCCTAGATCTGCATACTTTCATAGGATAAAGATTGAATTCTTAAAATATAAAAAAATATATATTTTTACCATACTATATTTTATATATTATACTTATAGTTGAATAAAATCGGGAACTGTTAAAAAAATTACCTGCTACATTTATTGCTTTAATCAAGCTTTATTATAACTTTTCTTATAAGCAAAAAGTATAATTTCACTAATTTCAAAATAATAATAAGCTGAAGTTCAAGGAATGTCACGGTTAATGAAAGAGCACTTAAATTTTATGACACAAAAACACTCAGTCGTCGCACATGTGTTGAAAATTAGCCGTTTTGCCTTCACGGACGGACGGATTAGTCTAATATGAATTTCGTGATTTACTATGTTTGTTTTGGAAGGCGCGCTACTAATGTAAAGACAAATTGTTGACACGGTTTCAACTTTCATAGGGATCTCCATACCTGCGTGTAATGGGAGTATCAGTATGACAAACTATCAAACAATATTGGTCTTTCTGTTCCTTTGAAACGTCCAATGGATTATTATCTGTAAACCGTTGTGTGAAAGATACAAATTTTCTAAGTAGAAATTTTGAAACTAAAAGGTGCGTAGTTGGAGCAGTAACCATTTCTTTGTAGGAGTTAGGAAACGCGTCGGCGACAGTTGTGATATTTCTTTTGTGCTAAGTTTGTTTTTATAACACTCTAACGCGTGGCATCCTGCAAAAATAGTGTTACTATCGATTGAAACATTTAAAAAAAATGTTATGATTATAAGCTATAAATAAAAATTATAAGTCTTTGATTGTCCATTTTTAGATACAGGTAGTTCAGTTTTTTAATTAAGGTATTTATATACAAAAAAAGCAGACACTGAATGACGGCACAAAGGAAATATGTCTGCTTCTGTAGTGTCTCCATTAACATGGGCAGATAAATGAGTATAGTTTGCAAGTTGAAAGTTATCTGATCGGTGAAGTGCTTAAAAGATGTAAAAAAATATATAGAATTCAACCGTTGCTTATTAGCAGAGACATCTGCGTTACGAGGTTGATTTAAGGGCCTTAGAAATACATGTCTAATTTACTGCCAACGAGACGTACCCTTTTGATTTCAACTTCCGCCTCTTAATTTCAAACGATTGCTTACATAGAATGGACTATCGATACTAGATTATATATTGTTATAGGGGTTAAAATATGTCAATATTCATAAAAGTTACTTTTGTTAGAAGTCAGATCAGAGATACGATTCATTTTTTCATATATTTCATTGTACACAATGACTTAACTGCATGTTCATTGTGAGAGTACCCCAACGATTGAATATCTTTTTATTTAATTTTTTCCACATATTTCACGCAGCATCCATCACGCATTAGATACAAAAGATAGGCGTCGTTTACCATTAGTTTAACTTCTTTACGCTTTGATAACCGCCTGCGGGGCAAACGATTTTTTACACGCCGATTCATGGGTCACAGTCTAAAATAATTCCTTCATGGTGACAGAACTAACTGGGTGAATAACATAAATTGTGAGACGATATTTTTAGTCTACGTCGTTTGTAAAAAGCTCTAAAACTTTACATGTGTGTTTTGTTAATGTAATGAGACCTGCCAATAAGTTACGGTTTCCCTTGAACTTTATTATTCCCAAGAGTGTGATTTTTAAACGTTTTGTTGTAAGACATGGGTTCTATTACATTAACTTTTTTAACGTATTGATTTATTACTTTACATAATACAAGATATAAAACTTTTAATATATAGCAGATATTTGTAGAATAATACCTTAGTTGAGAACTAAAAGAAATATATTTTTTTCTGACAGAATAAATGTTTGGAGTTAAGTGGTTTCACAAATCTAAGATAGTACGATATGACACTAAATATCGAAGTGTAGGGGAATGCGACCCCATGGGAGGGCTGCTATTAGCGCTAGTTGAACTTTGACTTCACCGTGAGTTCTTTATTTTCTTCACCCACCATATGGAATGTGTTTTTGATAGACAAGAATGCTTATTTTGTAAACACGTTTTTCTTGGGTTATTTCACATTATCTTAATAACATAAGGTAATAAAAATTATAATAACAATATTAATATCATTCAATAATTATTAGTTTACAGAATACTGAAAATAACGCCAGAATTTAATAAAAATGATGTAGTAAATTATAATATATAACTTTTTACGAAATATTATATTTTAAAACTTTCTTAAGATAACAAGGAAAAACACTAACCGAGACAGAACAGTCCCAGGAGAGAGGTTACCAAGGCCAGCGTATCCATGCTGGCAGCTTACTGCCACATATCCAACTCTTGATATCCCACGAGAAAACTGATCATGATTAGTTTTTAACAAGCATCTGGAACAAAAAAGTTATTTTAAAAACTTACATCAACAAAATTAACTTTTTAACTTTAAAAGTACTTCATGATAATATTTTCACAAGATTCGTATGCAATAAATAACGTGCAATAATATTATTCAATGACACATTTAAGATTTTCAATGGAAACTTGACGTCAACTTAATTACTCATAATTATTTATTGCTATTAAGATTCACTATACTACTGGTTATTCGCTATAAAAAACCCTATTGTGTACAATAAGTAAAAATTTATTTTTGTATTCCTAATATTTTTCAAATATTTATATACTCGTAGTATTATTATTTAATAATAAGATAATAATTAGCGATAAGCACCCTTTTGTGCCTTACATATGTTTATTTTAAAAATTTTGTAATTCTTTCTTATTATGATTTTAAAACTAGGTAATAGGTCTTTTAAAACAAAATTATATAAACAAAAGCGTTGATAAAGTAGCGGACACTTCCCGGACCCGGCTATAATGTAAACAACTCTATAATATTTATTTGGTATATTAAGAAGAGTGTAAACATCTGTCACTCTGAGATTTGAAACTCTTAAACTTGTTGTGGAAACGGTTCTCTGACTTATTTCTCAAGATATGTGAAATAATAATATATTAAATGCGTCAGAAATGTAAGCATGGAAATAAATTTTAAAGGTTAATCAAGGCTTAATGTCTTTAAATTTAAAAATAATATTAAAACTAGGTTATCATATTTAAAAAATATATTTAAATGACAAATATTTGATAACATCATTTTTTTTTCAACGTGTGCTATTTTCACGAAGTGTAGCAGGGACGACGTATTGAGATATTGTATACAGATTACAGATATTTTTATATATATATATATATATATATATATATATATATATATATATGTATATATATATATATATATATATATATATATATATATAAATGTATTGACGAACTTAAGTTCTTTTTTTATACAGATAAGCAAATTCTATTTATATCCTCATTTTCCTCAAGTTTTCAATTGGTTATGATTAATATGGTCAGATTTCGACCACTGGGCGTAAACTAGTTACAATAATTTAACAATATTCTTAAACAAAGTAATTCAATCATTTACGCATAGATTTTTAAAGTTATTGTTCCTTCAAAGATTCATTTAAAGATGGAATTTATTCGTGCAATTTATATAAGACCTTTAAGATAAATATTAAAAATGAATTAAACAAATTGTTTCAGAATTAGCAGACGTGACAAAATGTGATCAAATAATATCAACGTATAGTTAGTTATATATATCATCGTCTTCGACAATTCACCAAAAGCTTGCAATACAGAATTTACCTTAGTAAAACCGAAATATAAATCTTAGAAATAAAAATACGATAAGTCGTTGGAACAAATAAGCACTAAGGCATCGTTATACTTATTGAGTTTTATACATACGTAGATTCTATCAAATGTGGCTGAAGCAAGCTATATATATATCAGCAGCAGTTCAACATAAATCTAACTATGTCATGATTTATATCATGTTATACGCCTAATGGAATATTTAGTGGGGACATAATTTAATGCAACGCCCTAGTAATTAATTTGTAGCGGATGTCGCAATAGTATTACGAAATTTGTAAAAACAAGTTATTGATACACACAGATTGTACTTAAGAGTGACAGTGGGTTTCGATGAAAATTGACATTTCCTCACCCTTTCAATAACAATCGACACGGCTGATTGGAAATATATTATGTTAGGTATATATTATGTTAAGTATATGAGAAGGGTGAGTTAAGAAGAAAAAATAATTTGATAATATTTAAAAATCTTAAGCGCTACACCTCTGCTTCGCTCGGGTTAGCCTCTAGAAAAACAAAAACAAATCTAACCCACAGGAACCGCACTTTTTTCCAGGATAAAAAATAGCCTATGTGCTATTCCAGACTATAATCTATCTCTGTGCCAAATTTTATCCAGATCAGTTCAGCCGTTCTGGTTATAGACTTTCACATTTATAATATTAGTAAGATTGGTAGATAAGTAGAAATATATCAGTAAAATTAGTATAGTTTTGCTACCTTGTCATTTAAAAAGCTAACAAGGTATCTCATAGATAGTAATGTTTGATACAATGTCTTTTGCATTATCTAAGAGATAGCGACATACGATAACAGCTAGCGAGACATCAGACAGGCTAATTATAAAGTGCGTAAAATGAATCATATATTATCACAAATGTAAATATTACATGCTCTATGATGATGATGTTCTCCTGACCGATTCCGGCTACGGCGGCCAATCTCATTGAGACTAGCCAACTGCGCAGGAGATATTATAGTGCACAAGTGTACGCGCAGACACAAGTGCACTCTCTATTCCTGTCACTCTCATACTCCGGTGGGACGACTACTCGACACAACCGGTGAGAGTTAAGGCGCAGGACCGACGGCTTTTGCTCTCCGAGGCACGGGGGTGAAACACCGCCAACTTCTCAACTCTGGGCTGTTACTGAGGCTTACCATACAGAAAGACTCAATAACTAAACTTGGCCCGACCCGAGACTCGAACCCAGGACTTCTGAGTGTGCAGCCGTACATGCTAGCCACTATACCACCGAGACATGCTCTATATAAGTTATACAAACAAATAAAGTACAAATTGCTATAGTAAAACGAAACATCGATAATACAACGCTTAAAATTTGTCAGTTATAAAGTCGCCAGCCTATTATTGTATATTGTTCCACGTATGTATGACCCTGATTTAACTTTTGACAGGCTTAAATTACTCGGCTCAACTACCTTTGATATAAGCTTCCGTCATTCACTGGAGCATTTTAAACTACCAGTTAGCTATATTTCATTCATCTCAGGTACCTATTTAAAATTTTATATCTTTAAAGATATCTGATTAGGTATTATATTCTAAATAAAAACCCCCGTTTAGTTATTTTTTTACTTTTTAGTACCTGGAGGTCGGTTTTTTTATGTTTTTATTTTTCAATTTTTAGTGTAGACGTAATAATATGTAGGTAATTTGTAAGAAAAAAGCTTTTTTAATAACATATTCGATTAAGCCATTTATTTAAAAATATTTTATTGTTGATTTTTTTAAAACTGCTCGACCTTTCGATAAAATTGAAATGGGACCACCCTTTGAAAAAAAAGCTTCCGATGAATGGAGAAGCTCCTCCTTTTTGAAGAAGTCGGTTGAATCATATCAAAAAAACAAGCATAAGTATATCGTAAGTTTTTACAACATGTAAATATTTTTTGTTCACCGCATTTTATAGGGCAGTGATAAAAATATTTTTCTGTAATAAGATGCTGCAGTAGCCCCCGATAACGCCGGGTGATACATGTTATAAATATAAAGAGATTACGGGACAGCCAATAAATTTGCCTGGTATATGATAAGGCATATGTTTATTCCACTTTTATGACGACCGCCGTACATTAATGTGGAGTGGCACTGGTTTCTATGACGAATATCGCAGCTTCGATTCCAACAGGGTCCAAATTATTTATTGTTTTTGTTTTCGGACTGATAAAAAAATAAAATTAAGCATTAGAATGGAAGACAAAATACTGGTGTATTATATACGTTTGGTGTAGCATTGGATAAATAATTGATTCAAGTTTCATTTCACCTTGTAAGAGCATCACAATCTAAAAATCGGTATTAGTAAATATCTATTTATCTTTGCACAGAATGTCATTTAGAGTTAGTAGGGAAATTTTACAGCATTAAATACTCTACAAATTGAATTTTTAAGGAATATTTAATACGCTCTATCTCAAGAACAGTAGACTGGTCTTGAAATAGAGCGTGAAGAGTGGGAATTCAACTTAATTACTCACAAAGTGGCAAAACCGAGGTATGTACAAGTTTGAATAGCTTATTATATTCCATTTAGAGGCATGCCTTTTTAGTCTTTACTTTTTACCTTATTTGACTATACTAAATACAGCATTTAAGTGTTTTTTTTTATCTAAGAGGAAGAAGAGGCTTACCGACAGATGGACAGCTTTTTAACCAAAAAAATTACGTTGTACCAAAAATATTTAAATCACACATATCAGACCTATTACACTACCAGAATTGATTACCTCCGTCTTTTTTAAAGTAGGTTAAATATAATTTTATTAAGGTTATAGGAAGTTTTATACATATAAGCTACCAATTATGTCATAATAAATAACTAAACGTGTGCTCATTTTCCATTTTAATCAGCAGTAATACGCTGAACCCGTTAATTCATCGGATAATGTGTTCAAATCGAACTTCATTAGTCTCATTGGAATCGGAAATCGAATCGAAAATTAGATGGAATATCTAAAATTTAGATTGACAATTACTGATTATCATCATTTAGGATCACTCTTGTACTTTGAAGATTAATTTAATTTACATAATGTAATTACAATCCTCTTTTGTTGAATTAATGTTTCAAAATGGTTTTTAAGAATGTTTTTATATAGTACTAGCGACTCACCCTCGCTTCGCTTGGGTTCGTCCCTAGCTTGATTCCCCATATAGACTTTCATCCCTTTAAAGGTTGATTTCCGGGATAAAAAGTATCCTATGTCCTTCCCAGGGTCATAAGCTATCTTCTAACAAATGTCATCTAAATTGGTTCAGTGGATCCTCATATTTTCCCCTACAACGTCACAAACTCACAAAATCACTAACTTTACCTCTTTTTAATATTAGTATAGATATATAGAGTTGGTAAGGTTCATATAAATAGTATAAAAATAAACATCTATTACTAAATTTATAGTGTACAGTGGTAACTAGCAGTAGTTCTCACGAGGCACATATGCACTCAGAAACGGTTAACCAAAACAAACGTGGCCAAGGTTAAGTTTATAATTTATTGCCACTTGAACGTTGACGGAATGGTTGTTAACAAAAAAATGTATCGCTCAATCCA